ATAGGTCTTAGTTTGATTCCTTCTTAGGGTAATTTATTCGCATTTTACAGGGGTCCGAAGTTGGGTGAAGCCACTTCCGAGAGATCAGGTAAATGACATAGGGGAAGGCTAGAAAAAGAGTCACACCCACTTAAGCCCCATCATGAATGGGGCCAAGTTGAGCAAATTTTTAAGAATAGGCACCTATAGAAGCACGAAAAATGGCAATGTTAGACTGTAAAACTACTTTCCAAATCAGTTTTTATGATGAAATTATTGCTTTCTTAGCTGTGTGGTAGCGAAAAAACATATTAGCTTCCTTTATACTAAATTTGCTAGAAATGAGTGCATTTGTGGGAGATTTTTCCTTGCTCGCGGGAATGAGGGAAACTATACTGATTTCCGGGAAACTTGACCCCTGATTTCATAATTCAATGTTAATATGATATTTATGCATGATATATTTATGGTTTACAAATTTAAGAACGTATAGAAACTGATCATTTTGAAATAAATTATAGATTTTAACCTCCCACTTCTACCCCTACTAAAGTGTACCATGATTATTAAAACAAAATGCTGATGCTAACTAATGCAGTAATGTAGTTATAATAATGAATGATAAGCCTGTTTGATGCCGTCACTTATCATTAAGGTTGCGGCCTACATGTTCTTGATATTTCATGCGTGTCGGTACATTAACAGTCTATGCGTGTCTATTAGCTACATCACTTCAGCCAATTAAAGGAGAGTGAACTCAGGATATTTAAATGTGTGAAAGTACAAAAGGATGAATGCTACTGACTTACATAATTTGTTACAATGGCTCGTATGTCACTGCCACTCTAATGATAATAGCTTCTACAGACATATTTAGTTGTCTGTTTGGGATTTGGGAATGCTAAAATGGAATGTATGTGTATGCTACAGTTTAATATTATGTTGATTCTCTGGCCCATGAGCCCTAATCTCATCAATTTTAAAACAATATGGAATCGGATTTCAAACATTGATGCAATATAATATACAACGATGATAAATTACTCTTATTAAATTTGTTAAAATTTTCAAAGATAGTAAATATGACTACTAAATTTTACTGTGATTATTGTTGCTAATGTTAACCAATGCATCAGTGTAGTTATGATAATGGATGTGTTGATATTATTATCATTAATGAAATCAACACAATATTAAATTGTAGAATACATCCACTCCATTTTAGCACTCCCAAATCCCAAACAGACGGACTAAATATAATCATTAGAGTGGCAGTGACATATGAGCCTGGTAACAAATTGTGTAACTCAGCAAGATTCATCCTATCTGTGCCTTCACAAATTTAAATATCCTGAGTTCATTCTTCTGATTGGTTTTGATGTACTGTAGCTCATAAACATATCTACACTGTAAATGTACTATAATCAAGTGTAAAATCGAATGTAAAATATAAAACTTTAAATTTCATATATACATTTTTTGTAAAAAAAAATATGAACACATATAAGCACACCATGGTTTAGGAAGGAAGAAGATATCCCATTTGGTCCGATGGGACATGATGCATTCAGAAGGTCATAGTGAATTTCTATTTCCACTAACATGTCAGCAACATGCCAACGTGGTTTAAATGATGAATAAGTGAAGCTTGCCTTCCAGTTCCAGGGTGGTAGGTTTAAGTCTTATCAAGGTAATAGGATATTTTCTCACTAACCAAAAAATGTCATTACCTAAAGCTTCTTAATGGCTGTCTTATTTATATGTTTATAAACAACTTTTAAAAATTCCTATAAATTGCAGTGACCAAAACTTATAATCCATTAATATTTATTTTAAAATTAATAATAATAATAATAATAATAATAATAATGGTAATAGTAATAATAATTCATAATGATAATAGCTTCTCTAAATCGGACTTGAAGGGGAATATCCCTTGTGTTATTTTCCCCTTAACGTCATTTTTTTTATAGTTCTCTAATTTCTCCATTGTCTCAGTTCCCCTTAAGGTAGGTTTTAATACCATAATAATAATAATAATAATATGGAAATTGATACAAAAGTTTACAATCATAAACTACAACACTGCAAAGTTTTGAGCAACATTTTAAGTGACAGCAAAGAGTATATAACTGCAAGAGGTCTAACTTTGAGGGTTTGGTTGGAACGTAATCCTAATTTAAAAAAAGTACAGCCACAAACTAGAGGGCGTCCTACAAAAGGTGAGTTTCGAACTCCATTCAAATTCTATAGGTCCCCCCACCCACCTTGTGGTAGTACATTTTTGTTAATGTTTATAATTGTGTGCATACAAATCGGGGCATTCGGACCTCTTGCAGTTCAGTACCCTTTGGTGACCGCATATCAAAAGCCATACAGACAATCACAACCAATGCCTTCTTAGCCAGGATTTCAAACAGTGCGGGACAATTTCAGTGTGGACCCATTTTACGCGAAAAATCATTTTCTTAATAATTGACCCATTTTACGCAAAAATATGAAAAATCTGGACCTATTTTCTTAAATGTTCACCTATTTTAGGCTAAAAATGGACCAATTTTTCAAAAAGTGGGGTCATTTATGCATAAAACTGCATTGTTTGGACCATTTAAACAAATTTTGACCCATTCTTTGTGGACCCATTAGAAAACTTGTGTGGGACTATCCCAACTGTCCCAGTAGCTGGCTACAGCATTGATCACAACAATATTTTTTATTTATTCAGGAGTATTTAATAAACATTTTTTAAGAAAGGGCAGTTGTCATGAAAAATTAATTGACTTCAGATTAATGAGAGTTGGGTAGAAAAAGCATTTTACAGGGTTTACAAGTTAATACTTAAAGGTTAGAGAGTAGACCTAATACCAAGAATCTGTGCAGCTACCGGTACTATATTGCACATGAATACTTGGCCAGGTGCCCATATTAAAAAATTTAGTGGTGGTATAGTACTCTAAATCTAGGCACACCATAAATAACCATTGAACCGTTCTCTCGTTTAAAAATTAGTACAATGAAAGGAATGCATATATTGAATAGGTAATTTTGATAGTGTTCTCCCTATAGATCAGATTCCATTGTGTAATATCACTCAACAATTTGTAATTTCCATTTATTAGTAGTTTTGCAACCACATAAAACTTTATAATACATAGTTTTGGATCAAAGGGGGTTGGCATAAAGGCTGCCTGCCTCCCTCCCCCTCCCCTCCTAGCAGTGGTCAAACAAAATCACTATGTGTGTAATCATTTAGATCTGGAATTATTATTATTTATTATTATAAGGGATTAAAATGCCTATAACTCTAAAGCTTTTATGGGTGATGACCCCACTGGATCCCTACTTACAGTAGGTAAGGGAATACTCCAAAAAAGTTTTCTCTCAATCATATATTCTGCCACGTTCAGACTACGACCCTTGATTGCCATTTGCACCAATTCTGTATCTGCCACTGTAATAATACTATCAGTCTTATTTACACATCATGTTAAGCAAAGCTGAGCAGTGCACTTAATGTTATTATTCCGGTCATTGGATCAAACACTTTCGCTAAGAATACTCGGCTCCCTGGGGGAGTATTCCATAATGGTGCATGATAATCTGCGCATTGGCATTTGAACCTTTCAGGGTGGACAGATAAAGGATTTCCTTGCCATGATGTGCTTTATAAGAATGAACTAATAAGTAAAGCCATTGCAGGAAGCCACAAGGGCTTTAAAAGTCTGGAAGCAGATGAGAGTGTTGTTAAATCAACTGGTAGACAATAAATAGTCTGCTAAGAATGAAGTATATCTTTTGGGAACCACTAGGGATTAAAAGCCTAGAGCTTATTCCAGTTTAATGTATACTCATTCTGGATGGGATGCTGTTTATGGTTGACTCTAATGAAATTTTGATGTTTTGAGATCCTTTTTTACAATTAACTATTTAATTATTCCTGTTCATATTCATTTTTTTCCAATTTCATCTAATATTTTGCAAAACTATTACGTAACATATTGAAAAACCTCATAAATTGCTGTGCAGTGATTTGAAGTATGCTATATTTTATGACCTCGCAACATTGTATATACCAGTATCAATTATTATATATATTATTGTATATATCAGTTATCAATGGCAATATGTCGCACCCCATCAATGTATGCAAATAATGTTGAAGGGACTATACAATTTATACTATAAGGCTTAGCTACTATATTGCATGGTAGGCAGCCTTGTGTATGATATGATTAAACACTTCATGAATGCAACGAAATATCTTTAGGATTTTTGCTTTGCCTTTTTTTTGTTTGTTGCCTAATATGTTTTTATAGTAATTGTGTTTGTGTTTTGGGTGTTTCGCAATTGAAATATTTGCTTGATTGACAGAAACTATATAATAAGTTTGACTGATAACAATTTAAGATTGCTCTTTCATGCTAATGAATTACCAGTACTTTCGGTTATAAGTGAGTGTGGGTCTGTTTCTGCTGAAGAACGCAAAAAAAAAAAAAAAACATTTAAAAAAAAACGGTTCGAATAACTGTTTATAAACAAAAACTAGGTTGTAACCAAAAACGGTTTTTAAATGTGTGGTCGTTGTTGCGATGACAACATTTTATCCCAGAACGCAGTTTGTACGGCTATTCTAATAATAATACTGTACTAGCAGTATTGCTTACTCCAGTGTTTTGATTTTTCGTTTGTACACCGCCCTTTTGCTCCTCAAAAAAATAAAGGTTTTCCCTATAAAAAACTTTTTTTTTGTTTCACACACGGAATGAATTTCGAACCGTTTTTTTCGATCTGAAAAAACTGTTGTTTTGTCAGTGGTACCATTTCTACTGGCAGAAAAAAAAAAAACGAATATATTTTTGTAGGCCTTTTCGGCTGGCGGCAGGTTCTCTAAACAAGGTATAAAAAAGTTTAAAGACCATGGACACCCACTCCTAAAAGTGGTCTTCAATGGGAGGGAGACTTATGTTGTATTTTTATGTTGTTATTACAATAATTAGACTTATTGTATTTTTATTCAACAGATGTAGTAGTTGTGTTTCCAGTGAGTGGGGTTGTAAGTGGTGTGTCTTTAAGAACAAATGCACTAAACATCCAGATGAAGACTGTGCAGAAGAGTCCATTGTGATTGATGGAGAAAATGTAAGCTTATCTACACCTCATCAAGTACAAATCAGTCCCATCATAGCAAACGATGCTTTAATAAAATAAAACATCAGGAGTAGGTGAAGCACATTGTTATGTGATCCCATAATGTAGTCATGGTAACCTTTCCATAATGTAGTCATGGCAACCTTTCTGATAACTTTTTATTGGCTGAGGTCTCTTATGTCATTTCTTCACCAGTTTACTGGTCATTGAGAATGATATTGTCATTATGACCTTGATCAGTTTAAGGGCCAGCATGGGTCAATGGTTATAAAGGAGTCTCATAATCACATAATATATTCATTAATATAATTTCATAAGGACAAAACAAATATTGTTTAATTATCACTGTTTATTCTTCTAAATTTATATTATTATTATTATTATTGTTATTGTTATTTATTGTTATTGTTATTAATATTATTATATTTGTTATTGTGTTACTCCAATTCAATTAATCCAATTTAATTTGAAATGAATAGCGTACCACCATACCCCCTCCTCCCATCAACACAAATTTGGGGTTGGGCTTATAACAGAAGATGAGAAATTTCTTGCTAGTCTTGTGGGTTCTTCAAAAGAGCTATGAGAGCCTATACCAGAAGAATTAAGATAATATGTATTTGTTTTGTATTTTAAAGATGGAAATAATTGTATTGTATCATATGTTATTCAAGTACGAATAGGAAGCAATAACACAGTAGATGTAGTAGTATTGCTACTTGAAATATAAGTAGATGCTCTATTAAAGATGTCATCATTCAAACTTATGAACATAAAATTTCAAGCTTTGCAATAAAATTACAATAATATAAAAAAAAAAATACCCAAGTTTATACATAGCAGGTGTTCAAAGTTCATGGGGAAAAAAATAATCCTGATATTTTTAGGCTATGAACCAAGGTCCCTACAAAAACGTGTCATATTTAAATGTGGTGATGATGACAACATAATGACTATATATAGGCACAACATAACAAAATAGGGGTATGCAACAGTTTTTTGTCACAGACACTTTGATAATGTGGACACTGCAGTGATGTAAATGATAGAATTCCAAAGTTGAGTTTTCTTAAAATCGCAGAAACTGTGCATTTACATTTCATGTGTTATGATCAGGAATTTAGATTTCCCAATAGGGATGACTACATTATGCGCATTAAAGTAATTTATATGAATAGACTTTTAACAGTCAATCGTTGATATCTTTTCCCTTGCTGATAATAGGCTGATAATTTATATAGTGTTTTTTTTTTTTTTTTCATGTCTTCCAAACTTGTAGATACATCCATCTTTATTTATGTCTGAATTTATTTTTTAATTACAGGAGAATGCAGACGAGTGTCCCCAAATTGTGTCTGGTCAAACGGAGGAGCTGCATGTGAACGTGCCTGTTAAATTATCCATCGATACGAAAAATATACCTCCAACTGTAGGTTTTTAAATTTTTTCAGTTAATAATAAATATTTTTTTGATAAATTTTGTTTATCATTGAAATGATCATTGTGTATACTTTTAGATAAGATAGTATAATACATACTCCAAGTATCGAAATGCACGCCATCGTGTCGGGATTCAATATTTTCGACATTATGTCATCATCATTCCTGATAATGACATAATTAATGTATTATATTATTTTATCTGAGGTTAATCAGTGGACCTTTCGGTGCGTACTTTAAATTTTTGTTAATAATAATAAAAATATCAATTTCCATTTTAATCATATTAAAACATCAAAGTTTGTGTAATTTTTACTAAATCTAAGTAAGCCAGTGAGCTTCTTGTTATAATTATATACATATGAAAATAGAATGCACTTTTTTTTTGTATGTCTTGGTATATAATTATATACATATGAAAATAGAATGCACTTTTTCTTGGTATATCAGGCCTGGTTTTACCATCAATATTGATGAGAGGCAGCCACAATATTTATTCGATTTATAAGCCATGAAATACTCTTACCTAGGGCTGAAACATAGCGAGAGCCACTTCACAACCTGTCAACAGTGCAAGCTGGGGTAACTTCCCCTGAACATCAAATTTATTCTGTAATGGTTGCCCACTCAAAATATGGTTTTAAATAAATAAATGGTGGCCGAGAATGGTCAGTGTGTGGTTTGAACCCGCGACAACAATTTTCACAGCCTGAATGGAAATTGTTACGCCAAACCGCCCACCTCTTGGATAATGCTGATAAGGTCTCGCAAAACAACTGTGTAAAAACATAGCAAACATGTGTGTTTATTGGACAATAGATGTGTTATTGTGAGATGCATATTCCTGACCAAGTTCTGATTGGTCAGTTGGGTTCATTACCTTTTTATGATGATAATAATTATAATAGAATGCCAAATATTTATATAGTACCACTTCCAAATTAAATGATCAAAGATGCTGAACGGTATTACCCCGGTCACTGGATAACATACAAGGGCAAACCTGCACAAAGTGCAACCTTCTCTGCTCCGTGGGGAGTATATCTAGTTATGTGTTTCTACTCAGCACAGGAAGCTAGTACATTCAATGCCACAGCATCCTACCAGGTACCCGTTTATACTCCTGGGTAGTGGGAGACAAACATAAAGTGCCTTGCCGACACAAGTGACTTGCACAGCAAGAGTTTCCAACCCCTGCCCCTCAAGGTTGGGAGCCCAAGCCACACCCTATACGTGTATGTTTATGTTTTATATATAATTTTATGATGGTAATGATCAGATTTGTTGTGCTTTTGATAATTCTTTCTTTTAAACTTTAAATAGTTATATGAAATATTATAATTAGTTTGATACTATCTAGTTTCTCAAAGCTTCTGATCATAATTATGTTTGTGTTTATATGGTTTGTATACGCCTGGAATGTTTATTATTAAATATATATAAAGGTAAACTCGGTGAATTTGTTGAATAAGTTATTAAAGTAAGTACTTATTTTTTGTTTTCCCATTCCAGATAAAAAATTTTAATTGCGAGGTTAATATAATGAATAAAGTGAAGAGTCTTCCTGCCACTCGTGACATACAGAATAACAACACTATTGTTTGTGATAATGAACAGGTATGTTGATCAATTTATCATGATATTGTTTTTAAAAATAAGATTTAAACTAGTTGTGATGGCTAAGCTTTAGAATGTGTACTATTAGGTATCCCAATGAAACCCGTTTTGCGTTACCACAGTCCGGAAATATTCATGAAATTTGATGAAATGACATGATTTTGATGTTGAGAATAAAATACTCATTGTGAATGTATGTCAATAAAAATAAGATATCTTGAAAGAACTGGCTTTATTCTTTACCTGTCTCTTATACACATCTAGATGTGTATAAGAGACAGACCATACAGATCAATAAACAGCCGGCGAGCCGAT